CACTCGCCGTGACGGAAATAAAAATCGTTGAAAACAAAAAAGCACCGGTTTCTAAATTTTTTTCCTAGCAATGTTGTTGTTGTTGTTTTTCACAAAAAAAACGCTCCTACGCAAACTTCCGTCCAACACATTATCTTACCAGGAATCATGCCCTTTGCCTGTCTTTCTTTCGTGACGTACGTGGTCTTGGACACTTGGAGGACAGTAGCTTTGTTCCACTGCACTCCAAGCTCAGCGGTTCTCCTGGGCCGCTGAGTTAGAAGATCACTGTCAGTGGCCCGAGGAGCCAGTCACTGAGTCACAATTGGCTACTACTGTCCCAAGCCTCGTGGGACGTTTTGGGGACTTCCCGTGTTCAGCGCAAATGTTCAGCGGGAATTCTCGAAATTGCGCGTCGTCAACAGGAAGGAGCGGGCGTCAGTGACAGACATGAGCCTAGCAATGTTTGCGTGCATATACTACAATAATCAAGTGTGAAAAAGGTTGTGTGAAAAATGTAAATACAATTTGGACTGTATTTCGTCGTCAGCGGTGGTTTACATTCGCAATCCCCCCCCCCCCCCCCCCCCATAATGACCTTTTTAGCGTCTGCACGAGATAATTCACCGAAAAGCACCGGTATAGGTGAAATAAATAAACATCGATAAACATCCGCCGATTTTCGTTATAAATAAACACCGGAAAGTATACACCCTATTCATAAACCATATCACTCGCAACCAAATCTTTCATATTTCTCTTGAAAATCTAAAGAAAACAAACACTGAATTTTTACTTTGCCCTCAGTTTCTTTTTTTTTTTTTTTTTTGAACAAGGAGGAAACGTGAAAATGTATCAGCTTGAACTTTAGAATTAAACTTAAACACAAGCTCAACTCTTTATTCGTTTTTCAGGCAACTTGATATTTAAATTGTTGCGTGCCGTAATTGGTTCTGTCTTTGGGTGTGTGTGTGTGTGTTTTTCAGATATATGTTTTCTTAGTGCACGTTCTCAGCTACAAACACTCTTCGGGTTTAGGTCTAGCTTCTCTTTTTAAATATACTGAAGTAATTTAGAGTAATATATTTTATTATCATTTAGCATATTCAAACAGTACGCCTGTACGCACGTCTCGCAAGTTACCCTGAAAATTATCACGGAAGCGAAGTATTCGTTTCTGAAGGACTATTTTTTATAATAATAATAATAATAATAAATAATAATAACAATAGTCTTTATCTTATGTGTCCACAAACAGCACAGGGCCTTTTGTGTGGCACACAGCAAATGTTGACAAGGTAAAAAGTATAAGCACAGAGAAAACATACCTATCCCAAAAAGAACTCACAAAACGAACATAGAACGCATAGCGACATCTGACAAGCAAGACGAGGTAAAAGAAGAAGAGGCACTGAAAATACGAATACATCAACCCCAAAAAGACGAGAAAAAAAAAACGCTCAGAATTGCAATACACTGGGATCATGCAAAGAATATATTCTCTAGATTACGCCGAAAGGTTGAGTTGTCGCTGAATATTTCTCGGAGCGAACAATCCAACTTATTAAAATCATGCTGCATTCGTATTAGGGGAGACGTGTGAAAAAACGTGGATGGTTAGAAAAAATTGCGATAACGACTTGAACGTGGTGGGGCGTGAAAACATACAGCGCTTAACAAGACAGGACAATCTACAAACCCTTTGACAAGTTGGTGTAAAAACAAGACATCCCGACAACGCCGTCTCTCAAACCGAGTACACAAACCAAGTCTCTTGAGCAGCCGATCGTGATTTTAATAAAACTTACGTCCAAAAAAAAACGACCGAAAACTATGCGAATAAAGCGCTTCTGTACACGCTCGATAGAGCAAGATGCTGTATCGTTTATACAATTCCAGACTATAGATGCAAACTCGAGTTTTGAGCGAATTAGACAACAGATTAAACTAACGATACATGCATAAGAAGAAAATTGTCTTGTGAAACGTAAAATTGCTCCCAATGTTCTAAGTGATGCGTTGCATATGGCCGACACGTGATGATTAAAATTCAATGCCTTATTTATAAAAACTCCAAGATCACGAGCAACACATACTCGTTTGATGACGACGCCATCTAAGAAATAACTGAACGCAAGGGGTTTCGCTTTCTACAGAGACCCATAGCCTGTGTTTTATGTTCATTAAGCAGGAGATCATTATTAAAGCACCACCTAGCTATCTTATCGACATCGCTTCGAATAAGTGTGCATCCAGAATGTGAACAAACATGACGAAACAACTTTATATCGTCGGCGAATAAAAGCACTTTAGAATTTTTTACCGAAGATACAATGTCATTCACAAAGATTAAAAACAAAAGTGGACCCAAGTTGCTCCCCTGAGGCACCCCTCACGACGAAATATAGGTTTTGGAAATAAATCCCGATACACGAACACAGCTGTACAATCGCTAAGGAAACTCCTAAACCAATTACAATACGTTGAACATAGGCCGTAGTCATCTAGTTTACGCAGGAGCCGATTATGATTGACCCAGTCGAACGCCTTCGACATGTCAAAGTAGATGACGTCTACTTGCTGATGGCCATGAACAAATGGCACAGCATATTCTAAGAATGTGCACAAATTTGTTTCCACCGACTTTCCGTTCGAGAATCCGTGTTGCTCAGGACAAATATTTGACGGAAGTATTTGTAAAGACGATTATGCAGCGTCATCCCAAAAACTTTAGAGAAACTAGATAATAAAGAGACAGGGCAATAGTTGCTGACAATTGTGTTATCGCCTGATTTAAATATCGGAACTATCACTGAGTGCTTCCATATAGACGGGAATCTGCCCAATTGTAGCGGCAGGTTAAAGATATGAAGCAACACCGGAGTTAAAAGATGAGCACATCCCTTTAAAATAAAGCTCGGTATTCCGTCTGCGCCAGCAGATAACTTCGACTTAATGTTGTAGTTTGTCATGATTGTGGTAGTCAATACAATACACCGTATGATATTTTTGATTAACATAAAGAATAATATAATACCTTGTTAACCGTAAAGGGAGTGGTGTATTATTTCTATACATACATCCTATTGATTTATATAGTTCAGAAACAAGTTTATGTATATGCGTCGACCAGCTGAAGTCCTCATTACACAAAATACTTGATCTTTGACCTGCTCTAAAGGCATTCCATCAAAAATGATAAATATGCAAGTTTTGCATTGGCTCTTAATTGGACGAGATATTACCGCGCGCAGGGTCACAGACTTGTAGAAAGTTCTCGTTTATTCTTGCTGCGGACATAACTATCGTTTATCCCTGCTTTTGTTGTTCTACACTCTAAAAAAAATCCGTTCTTGAAAGGTTCTTCGCCGCCCCAAGAACTCTTTTTCCTCGTGAAGAACTGTTTTCGCTCAAACAGTGTCGCCCCCTGGCGCAGCAGAAAGGCGACCGGGCGATGAAGAACGTTTGTCTGGAAAAGGTTCTTCATAACGTTTTTTTTGTTTTTTTTTCTTTCTTTTTTTGTTTTCGAAGAAGCGGTTGCGCGCGACGGAGTGCCGGTGGTGCCGCTGCGCCGGGCCGCTTGCCTGCGTGAGATTCTGTAAAGGCGAAAGTAATGGCGGCCAACAATTCGGGGTTCTGTCGGCGGCATTCAATGGATGGGTTCACGGTGCGAGAACATACAGATGTGTGTAGATGGAAGCTCCAGGACGTGTCAGATTGGTTGACAAAGCAGAACCTTGGAGACTTCGCCCAGAGATTCGAAGGTAAGCAGAATGTTCCGTCCTCTTTGTTTGTGTTGGTTGGCGGCGTCGGTTTCGTCTCGCGTTTTCAGTTTCCAAGTTGAGGGTAACGCCGGGAACGGTGGCTGATCGGCGTCTCGATGGTGCTATCCTTCCATACTTCCACGTGCACGCGAATATTTTTTTTTTATGAAACTTGTAGTGCAGTGTGGATATTTGGACATATTTTGTGAGCGACGAACTGCTTCCGGGTCTTTCGGCGATTGGTGAGATTTGTCGTCGTTTGTGCAATTTCAGCATGAGCGGATACGAGTGTTTAAAGTTTTCGCAGTGCTACCACATAGGGAGCCATCTGACAAATCATGTCCAGATAGCTCATGGTGACCCAGACTTTAATTCTGTTTGCAAGTTGGGTGAGTAATCTCAGTCTGGACGATATTTTATTGCATTTGAGAGCTTCAGGAAGCACATGAAACGTAAAGATGTCGAGGGAGGATCTGGGGAGCCAGAAAATGGAAGCAGTGTGGGGGTGATGCATTACACTGCTTTATGGTTGTCCCCCTCCCCCCCCCCCACCCCCCCCCCCCCATCTTCCCTCTCTTTATACTATATTTGTGTACACCATCGGAATAAAAGGGTAGAAAAATGTGGTATAACTTCTGTCATTAACATATATAACATATATGTATGATATAAACTGTATGTGCAATATTTTATCTCCTTTTATGCAGAAGAGGTTGATGGGAAGACGTTACTAAACTTGTCAGTGTGGATGATTGAGCAGTTGCTCCCTGCTATCAAACTGCGAGTCAAACTGCTAAAACTGATTGAACAGCTAAAAGGAGACATAAAAGAAAGGTGGGGCACATTACTCAATTCGAAATTTGCGTTCCATTTGTGAAATTCGAGATGCACTAATTACATTGTTATTTTTCAGCTTGCCTGGACCCTCCAATGTGCCTCGTGCTAGTAACACAGCAGCCTCAGTTTGGTCTACAGAGGTTGTAAGGATGTATGGCCACAGATATATATTCTCCCATAATTTCCCTCGCTACTGTTACAGAGGCTGTGTGAAAAGAGTGAACTGTTCCTTCAACCACAGCGAAATGAAGCACGAACAAAGTTGGTCGCTGCGTTGGCAGACGACATTCTGAGCAAAACTCCGAAAGCAGCATCATTTGAAGTCCTCACTTATATATCTTAAAATAGAGGCTAACATTTGTTGTTTTTTCTTTCCAGAACGCCAAGTCGGTCTTAGCTAGATGATGTCATGCGTGCCCGCCAAGCGGCATACCCCTTCCTGGCCGACTCCACTGGACGCTGCGTAAGATTTACAAGAACTTGTTTTCATTCTGACAATTGAAATGCTTGTATCGAAGTTTATTATCTGCATTGTAACAGGCTTGCTACTCGTCAGTCTCACTGTAGGATTCACTGCGGCACAGCCTTATTAACAAAATGAAAAAAGAAAGGTTGCTTCTTATGCATCTGCCAGAAGTTCAGCAAAACAAGGAAAACTATGGCAAAGGTGGTGGACGAAAGCGAAAGGAAAAACGCCAACGCAGTGACTGTATTCAAAAATAAAAAAGGACCATGGTAAGTTTGTTATAATCTGGTTCAGACACAGTTAAGAGAAATACAACTAACCTGGAAGCGGGAACTGTTCTTAAATAGTTATTCAGCTAAATGTAGTTATGTAATTGCTGCACCATATGCTTCAAAGTGCTCAGCCTGTTACATTTCGCCAAAATGAGAGGAATCTTTTACAGTTTTCATTTGCCCGTCCAGAAGAATGGTTAGAAGCTTGGGAATGACCTTACCAAATTCGGCTTGATTGTTTTTAAAAGGCATATTTATTGTTCGCATGCAGATTTTTGTTATGAAGTCTTAAATATACGACATTGATATTCACAATCAAATGACGAAATCTTTGTTTTATTATAACCTTTAGAACTGTAACAAAACATCTCTTTGTGTACTTAAAATGTTTCTATTTTTACATCATTTTATTTTAGTGGTACGTACTGTTTGCTTTACTTTTGATTCCGTACCTAAAACCACTATTCACAGAAGTTTATACTATCCATCATCACTCAGACTGTTGTTGCCATGTCTGGTGCTTCTATGTGCAACTAAGCAGATAGTGCTTTGTTCGAGAGAATCAAACTTGTCAAGCAATTGATGTTAACAAAAGGTTGCACAGGAGTGGGAGGGCAAAGTAGATAGTGTTTTAGCTGAGCATGCCAACACATTAACCGTATGATAATATTCACAGTGGTAAGAATAAAGACGAAGTTTTTGCTTACATGCCAATACATCTTTTAGCAGCTCCTAAACGTACTTTTGGCTACTCCTAAATGGACTTCTGACTACTGCAACAGGTGCTCCAAAGTGACTTGAACGAATCACATTGCTGTAAATGTAATCTGTAAAAGTCACAGCTGCATGGCTTGTCAGATATATCAAATACTCTCTGGTTGTCTCTCGGTTAAATCTTTTTTGTTGCATTGAACTGCCTTATTATAGCTAAAATATAGAGTGCATATAACTTGATCTATTTGGACCCGTGCACCCACTGTTTAAATTACAATTTTTTACATAACATAAAATAAGGCTTGCTGGAGTTCGTCTGGTACACAACTTTGTTCTTCAAATCCCATATTCTGTGCATGGCACTGACTTTTTTTTTTCAGGTTCCACATCATGACGTAGAAGGTACCGACAACTGTGCAGACCACGTAGAGATTATGGCTGCTGAATGCTCCAAGGCTGCAACAGATGTGAAGCTCTTAATTCAAATAATGGCACAGACGTAACAGGCAAAGAGGGTAGACATCGCTGGCAAGACCACCACTGGTGTTATTTAGCTGTACCCGGCCCTCTGCATTCCCGAAGTGGTAATTTTAACACCTTTTCCACTAAACTTTCAAACCAATAGACAGCCTGAATGGTGGATCAGTTTTGTCTGGTTTTGAGTTACTTCAAGCCTAAAAAGGGTATACTAAGAGAGTTAGGCACTGTCTAAAGTCAGCTAACAGCCTGGTTTGCAGCTGCCTACTTGCAGTGCCGTTGTGCTCTTTGCCTGGGTTTAACACCTGTTTGTGCCATGCGCCCTCGCAGTGTGTGGTTGGAGAGGGGCATCATGAGAAGGAAGGAGCCAGAAGTCTTGTTTTGCCGCAATTTCTTTTTTCCTGCTTCCACACCTGAGTGGTTGTCTCGTCCATCTCGTCTCCAAGATAGCATTTTTATCCATAAAGTATACCTCAACAAGAAAGGGTTTTGAAGTTTTTCCAAGTCAGTTTTTGTTTGCTTTTGTTAGTGGTCAAATAATAGATCTGAGCTCGCTAACGTGCCATATATGAAATCAGACATCTAGAACGTTGTCTCCATTTTCTCAAGGCCAAAATTTCAGTGTCTCATTTCAGTGTTCCAGGAGGCCGTGTTATATTTGATCTATATTTTAGGCAGAGAAGCATTCTACTCATGTGCTAAGTTTCAATCTAGTCATGTTCAATAAACGTCAGTATGTTTTTTTTTTGTGAACCGCGGTATCTTGTCTTCATTTCACCATTGACAGGTTGGACATTGCAGAGCATCTCTTTTGTTCTCCTACCTTTATTCCCTATACCTCATACTTGGTCTTGACAAGATTATCAACGATGAATGTGTACTTGAATACCCATCCAAGTCAGTGGTTCTGCAGTAGATGTAGTGCCCCAGAAAAGGAGCCTTGTCGTTCAAAGCCTGTTTTGCACGTCTGTTGACGTTTGCAAAACGTCTAGGTGATGTATATTGCCTCTTTGAATAATTCGAGACAGTCAATAAAGAGCGGTTTACAAAAGAGCTACTGTACACCTAAAATTGCTGCCCAAGTCGCTTTTTGCGAATAAGTTATTCAAGTTAACTCGAAAGTGGTCTTTGCAACAAAACTTTCATTGAAAAGGTTCATAATAGAAAGCTCTCTCGGTGAAAAGTAACTTAAAAGTTAGGGGTGAGCAAGTAGTGGTTAAAATAAAATCCTTGGTAGTTTTTTATAGTTCTCTCTCGGATGGAACGGTTTTTCATCAAATACCTTTGCAAGCTTCTTATAAGCTCTTTCAATTGACCAGTAAATCATGAAAAACCTTTATTGAGTTTTTTTAGGGTCTAAGGAAATAACAGTTCTAAATAAACTTTCAAGGGAACTTTACTGTTGGGGTGTGCGGATACTCCTCGGTTCAAGTAGCGCAGCGATATTGCTAGATTCAAGAAGTCCACGGTACACAATGACTTTCATTGCAGTGTTGAACCTAGAAATATCGCTCTTCTTTTCGAACCGAGGGGGTATTCGCACACTCAACATAAAAGTTCCCTTGAAAGGTAATTTAGAACTTATTTCCTTAGACGCTAAAATAACTCAATAAAGATTCTTCATAACTGGTTAATTAAAAAAGAGCTTATAAGAACCTTCCAAAGGCACTTGATGAAAAATTGCTTTATCCTAGAGAGAACTAAAAAGAACTGTTTCAGCGACAGAACAACTGGAAAGAACTTTTTAAACGTTCTCCACGAGGAACTGTTCGATTGAAAAGAGAACTTAAAAGAACTGTTAAACGGTTCTTCACCAAGAACTGTTTTAGCGAGAGAAGGGCTGAAAAGAACTTTTCACAAGTTCCTCACGAAGAACTGTTTCATTGAAAAGGGAACTTAAAAGAACTCCTTAAAGGTTCTTCATGAAGAACTTTTTTATAAGGTGCTTAAAAGAACCTTTTAGGGTGCAAAATATGGACAAGCCGAAGAACTCCAAAAAGTTCTTTTTCGAACGGATTTTTTTTAGTGTGTAGAAAGTGCTTGTTCATTCTCGCCCCGAGCGCGCTACGGTCGAACCTTCTCCGCCGAATCTTCGAGATAGTGACTCACTCTAGATAAGAGGCCGCTCGCGACCTTGTCGAGTCAGTTTCGCCCCAGCGCTCGACTGTGCTGTCTCGCCGACCTCGACGCTCGCGACGCTTTGTTATTATTTTCTATCTCTTTTTGTTTTGGCACAAGTTCGCCACATTAAACGTTTAGTTCTTCCTGTTTATTTATTGTTATTCTGGTCACCACCCGTGACATTTTGGTGGAGGTGCGGGGTACCGCATGCCTGTGCAGCGTTCCCCTCCAAGAGCCCGCAGTGCAAGTCCGGTACCAAGCCCAGTGAGAAGACCACTCCCCGCGGAACCCGAAACTCGGACCAGCCGGCGCATCAAGGGAGAGGATCCTGAATACGGTTTGCTACTGGCCAAGCCCAAGCCGAAGAAGACGACGATGGCCGACCAGGCGCAGGCCCCGGCTGCTCCTGCCGTCGTATACCTGCCCGTCGCACCCAAAACTCCGACGCCGTTTCACGGAGACGCACACGAGGACATCGAGGACTGGCTGCAACACTATGAACGGGTGGCCCGCCATAACGGGTGGTCAGCCGAGCAATGCTTGCAGAACCTTCACTTTTCGATCGAAGGAACTGCGAGGCACTGGTTGGAAAACCATGAGGCTTCTTTGACGTCGTGGGAGGTGTGCAAGCAAGAATTGAAGAAGACGTTTGCCTGCCAACACCGACGTGAGAGGGCCGAAGATCTCCTGCGAACAAGGACCCAAGACCTACATGAGAGCGTCACCAGCTTCGTTGAGGATGTTCTCCGCCTGAGCGCCCGCGCCGATCCTCAGGCTACCGAGGAGAAGAAGCTGCACCACTTGATGAGGGGTGTGAAAAGTGAGATATTCGGCGGCATCATTCGCAATCCCCCGACAACCGTCGACGGGTTCGTCACGGAGGCGACGAATATGGAACGGGCCCTACAAGCACGCGCCAGACACTACCAGCGACACCCCGGCGTAACCACTCTGGCGACATCCGGATCCGACCTTGGCACCACCCTCCCCGGCATCCGTGAAATTATCCGTGAAGTCGTCCAGGAGGAACTCAAGAAGCTCGTGCCCGCTGCAGTACGCCCGGCCTCACTCTCCATCGCCGAGGTTGTGCGGGAAGAAGTCCAGAGAACCTTCCAGAAATAGGCTCCTGTCGTCGTGGCAGCCCCCGAGGAGCCCACGTTGACTTACGCCGCAGTGGCTCGACGGCCACCGCCTCCTCCTCGTCGCACCTATGTCGCGCCGCCCCGACGTCAGTCTCCTGCGCCGCAGCACGACCGACACCACGACGACCAGGTCCAGTACGCCTGCCCGGAGCCTCGCGCACCCCGCAAGACCGACGTGTGGCGAACGCCCGACCGACGCCCTCTGTGCTTCCATTGCGGGAAAGCGGACCACACCTACCGCCGATGCCCATACCGACGACTGCCGCTTCGCGGGTTCCACCCGAACGACCCGCGACCCCGTTATGGTGAACGCCCTCGGGAGATCGACAAGTACCTGCGACAACCTCAGTCCCCCGAGCCTACGTCCCGCCGAGAGTTCCGGTCGCCGTCGCCACGACGTCCAGCTTCACCGATGCACCGACCCCGACGTAAAAGCCTGTCGCCCCTCGCTCCTCGCCGGGGAAACTAGGCGCGGCAACCCCTGGAGGTGGAGTTGCCGAAGACGGCCGACGCCAAGATTCTCCACGAACGTCGGAGGGCCCCCACTCGAACGCTACCAGAGATCGAAAGCACGCCCCTGCAACGGTGTCCAATAACCTAAACGTCATCATCGACGGCCACGACGCATCAGCCCTCGTGGACACTGGAGCAGACTACTCAGTCTTGAGTGGGAGGCTCTCCCGCCGCCTTCGAAAAGTCACGACGCCGTGGGATGGACCTCAGATACGAACCGCCGGAGGGCACCTCATCACACCGGTCGGGAGATGCACTGCTCGCGTCGAGATCCACGGTGAGACGTGCCCTGTCAAGTTCGTCGTTCTGCAAGACTGTTCGAGGGACGTTATCCTCGGAATGGACTTTCTCTGCGAGTATGGCGCCGTCATCGACCTCGGAGCAAACCGACTGACGCTTCGAAAACCTGCTCCACCACAGGAGGACCCCAAAGTGACGTCATCCGCGGTACGAGTCCTCGCAAACCACGTGAACCTACCGCCGCAGTCAAGTGTTTTCGTACCCGTCGGGGTCGATGAGACTTTCTGCGGCGACGTTTTGCTCGAAGGAAGTCTCCAGTTGCTTCTAGGAAGAGGGATCGGCATCGCAAGAGGCGTCACGGAGCTCCAAGACGGACGCACTGTCGCACTCGTAACGAACTTCCGACAGGAGGCCCAGCACCTTACGAGAGGCACCGCCGTAGGCCACGCCGAGGAACTCCCGGACGGAGCCGCAATCGCCGGAATATCAGAAGACCTCTCTCCGTGGCCACCTAAGACAACGCCGCCTTCGCAGTTTGACATCGACCCAACCCTGTTTACCCCACAACGACGACAACTCAGTGACCTTCTCGCCGAGTTCAATGAATGCATCTCCACGTCGTCAAAGGTGCGCCAAACGACCGTTGCGAAACATCGAATTGTCACTGAAGACAACGCGCTTCCTGTGCATCGGTCGCCGTACCGTGTTTCCGTGAAAGAAAGAGAGGTCATCCAGAAGCAGGTCCAAGAAATGCTCGATGACGACATTGTCCAGCCCTCAAGTAGCCCGTGGGCTTCACCGGTAGTCCTGGTGAAAAAGAAAGACGGGAATCTTCGGTTCTGTGTGGACTATCGCCGACTCAACGCCGTAACGAAAAAGGACGTCTACCCGCTGCCACGCATCGACGACACTCTGGACCGTCTGCGCCATGCCCGATACTTTTCGTCGATGGACCTGAAGAGTGGGTACTGGCAGATCG